AAAAAAAACAATAGTCGCAAAAAAAGCACCCTAATGTACTTACATACGTCTGTATCTAATGCCTTCATGCAAATAATTTCGATTGAAATAAAGCTCCATTTTTCCCCCATAGGAACACCGAACAGAGATCGATGCACGTGCCGGAACATTTGCTGCCTTCGAACAGTTTGGCAATGAACTTTTACAGGCCAATCACTATGCTTCACCCGAGATCAAGGAGAAGATCGAGGATCTAGCCAAGACGCGTGAGGAGTTGGAAAAAGCATGGACTGCTCGTCGTTTGCAGCTTGAGCAAAATTTGGACCTGCAATTATATATGCGCGATTGCGAGCTAGCTGAGTCATGGATGTCGGCACGTGAAGCCTTCCTTAATGCCGATGATGTCGACAATAAGGGTGATAATGTCGAAGCTTTGATCAAAAAGCACGAAGATTTCGATAAGGCCATCAATGGGCACGAGGAGAAAATAGCCGCTTTGCAAGTTTTGGCTGATACTTTAATCAATCAAAACCACTACGCATCCAATCTGATTGACGATAAGAGGAAGCAGGTGTTAGAGCGCTGGCGTCACCTGAAGGAGGGTTTAATTGAGAAACGTTCTCGATTGGGTGATGAGCAGACATTGCAGCAATTCTCTCGGGATGCTGATGAAATCGAGAACTGGATCGCTGAGAAATTGCAACTCGCTACGGAAGAGAGCTACAAAGATCCAGCCAATATTCAATCGAAACACCAAAAGCATCAGGCCTTCGAGGCTGAATTGGCCGCCAACGCAGATCGCATTCAGAGTGTTTTAGCAATGGGTGAAAACCTCATTGATAAGAAACAGTGCAGCGGCTCGGAAGATGCTGTTCAAAAGCGTCTCACCCAAATTGCCGATCAGTGGGAATATCTGACACACAAAACCACAGAGAAGTCGCTGAAATTAAAGGAAGCAAACAAACAGCGCACTTACATCGCTGCTGTCAAGGACTTGGACTTCTGGTTGGGCGAGGTCGAAAGCTTGCTCACCACTGAGGATTCTGGTAAGGATTTGGCGTCAGTCCAAAACCTCATGAAGAAGCATCAGTTGGTAGAGGCGGATATCGTGGCACACGAAGACCGCATCAAGGACATGAACAACCAGGCCGATTCCTTGGTTGACAGCGGTCAGTTTGATAGTGCTGGCATTCAGGAGAAACGTCAAAGCATCAATGAGCGCTATGAACGCATCTGTAATTTGGCTGCACACCGCCAGGCTCGCTTGAACGAAGCACTAACGTTGCATCAATTCTTCCGCGATATTGCCGATGAAGAAAGTTGGATAAAAGAAAAGAAATTGCTGGTTGGCTCAGATGACTATGGTCGCGATTTGACTGGTGTTCAAAACCTAAAAAAGAAACATAAGCGCCTCGAGGCCGAGTTGGCATCACACGAGCCGGCAATCCAGGCCGTGCAAGAAGCGGGTGAGAAGTTAATGGACGTTTCTAATTTGGGTGTTCCCGAGATCGAACAGCGTCTGAAGGCCTTGAATCAGGCTTGGGCCGAGCTCAAGAACTTGGCAGCAACACGCGGTCAGAAACTAGATGAATCCCTTATATATCAACAATTTTTAGCCCAAGTAGAGGAAGAAGAAGCATGGATAACAGAGAAGCAACAATTACTCTCAGTTGATGACTACGGTGATTCTATGGCTGCTGTGCAAGGACTTTTGAAGAAGCACGACGCATTTGAAACCGACTTTGCAGCCCACAAAGATCGGTGCTCGTTGATATGTGACCAAGGATCTGAATTGGTGGAAGCTAAAAACCACCACGGTGACTCTATCGCGCAACGTTGCCAGCAACTGCGCAGCAAGCTTGAAAACTTGAATGCATTGGCTGCTCGTCGCAAGGGTGCCCTCTTGGACAATTCTGCCTATTTGCAATTCATGTGGAAGGCTGATGTGGTCGAAAGCTGGATCGCCGATAAAGAGAACTATGTGCGTTCCGATGAATACGGCCGCGACCTTTCAACCGTTCAAACTCTGTTGACCAAACAAGAGACATTTGACGCTGGTAGGTAAAAAAAAAAAAACGCACACAACAATTTTTGTAAACGATGCTGCGCTTACCTAACGTCGTGACTAATGTGTATTGAATCGTTTTAGGTCTCAATGCCTTTGAGCAAGAAGGTATTCACAACATAACTGCTCTAAAGGATCAACTCATCAATGCGAACCATGCTCAATCGCCGGCTATTTTGAAACGTCACGAAGATGTCATTTCCCGTTGGAACAAATTGCGCGAAGCTTCTGAGACGCGCAAGCAACGCTTATTGGCCATGCAAGATCAGTTCCGCCAAATCGAGGAACTCTACTTGACATTTGCGAAGAAAGCTTCGGCCTTCAATTCTTGGTTCGAAAATGCCGAAGAGGACCTTACTGATCCTGTTCGCTGCAATTCGATCGAAGAAATACGTGCTCTGCGCGATGCGCACGCACAATTCCAGGCTTCACTCTCGTCGGCCGAGGCGGACTTTAAAGCTTTGGCAGCGCTCGATCAAAAGATCAAGAGCTTCAATGTTGGGCCTAACCCATACACTTGGTTCACCATGGAAGCTCTTGAAGAGACATGGCGCAACTTGCAAAAGATCATAGAGGAGCGAGATGGCGAATTGGCCAAGGAGGCGAAGCGTCAAGAAGAAAATGACAAACTGCGAAAGGAGTTTGCAAAACATGCCAATCTATTCCATACGTGGCTCACCGAAACAAGGTAATTATATAAGTATTTGTTTACAGGGGTTTCTAAGGCAAATATATGTACTTGAAATACTAATACCATGTCCCCACCAAAGAGCTAACCATCTCAAATCGAACTTAACCACATCACTAACTATTGCGGTTTGAAGTTTATAAAACAGTTCATATGTAGAGAACAGTGTTCGGACGTCCAAAACTCGATTCAGGACTGAATCGCTTCAAAAATCGGAGCAAAAACAAATTTTCCGTACTAGATTGAATTTTTTATTTTCGCGTCTGACATTAATTGTTTGACTTGAATAAATATGTTACATATTTAGGTAATTCTTAGCATTTTCTATAAAGTAAAACGTATCTAACACTTGATTTTTTAAAGAGCAATAGGATCTAAACCTTTTCTACTTTATATAAATTTCATTCTACATATATTTTTAAAAACTTAAGTAAAGTTCTGCATCCGCCAATTTCTACAGCCATACATAAAAAAATAACGAAGTTACTTTATTGACGCATTGCTATGAAAGGTTACTTGTCAACAGTGAGATTTGGCTAACTTTCAATTTTTTTACTGAAACCGGTGGTGAACACTCAAAAAACAGCCCCAAGAGGGCCATAACTTGAATGAAAAAAAACGGTATCGATTTGAAGTCAAGCGGAGTAGAGGAGTAGATTTGAAATTTTTTTAAAAAACCGGAGTAAATCTTATCTGATCTTCGTAAACTCCGAACACTAGTAGGGAACGAATTTTTTTTTAATTTTAACGCTAATGACCCACAGATGGCGGGAAAACACACAGGGTTGTATCAGACTTTCGACGTGGTTGCGAGGTGGTTAGCTTTTAACCATCTCAGTGAAATGGTTAAGTGCCGTCATTTTTATATGGCGAAACTACGCTTAATGAAGTGGGTTATCGGGATAACCAACTCAACAGCCATAACTACGTGGTTAGGTCCGGTGGGGACATAGTATAAGGGACGAATTCCTAGTGCGTAGTTAACCACTGAAAAGTAAATAACGTCGATGTTTAAATTATGGATTATGTTATAAATGGATTAATAATACCTTTATGCATCTACCACACATTCCTGCTCCGTTTTAGATTTTTCAAACGCGCTTAGCAAACTGGACTGGTTGTCGCGCGTTTAAGAAGGTGAAAATACTTTCTTACCGTGTTTTCGAAGATACCATTAGAATACTTGCTCAGGACTTTTCAGGATAATACTTGATCCTCATTTTGCACGATCTTTTTTACTAGATGTCTTTGTGGGTCTTATTGAACACCTTCCGCTTTATTTTTAAGGTTTTCTTATTATTTATTTTTTGTTCATTTCGAAATATATGTATATATATTAGACTGCATCACTCCCCATACCAAAAAAAATCGGTACTGTTTTTCCATTGGAATTATAAAATCTATTATATTTTAAGGATAGTTTCTTAAAGAAGATTTTAAAAAATTAAAAAAACAAAATTTAACGGAATCGTAATAATGAGATTTCTGATGCTGTTTTACCTTTTTTTAAAGATTGGTATAAGAAAAACATGAATAACTGAACCTAAACTCTCCCGATTTAGACTTGTGAGCTATCATTGGAAAGGTATTTTCTTACCCTTTTTATTTCTTTGCTAATAAGCTCATTCAAAGGACGAAAAAGAAAGGTAGGTTGAACGAACATCATTCAAAGTTGAATTAAGATGTGTTGGTATTTGAAAAGATAAAATAAAATTGGGACACGAATGACTTTTTTTTGCACATAAATAAAAATAGTGGTAAAATACCTTTCTACCGAGATCCCACAAGTCTAAATCAGGATAGTTTTGGCACAGTTATTTAATGCCGATTTCGTTTCTACCGAAAAATGCAGCCTTCTCTTTGCCCTCTACGCACAAACACTAAGAAGATGGCAACATTTTTTGTAGAAACGAAATCGCCATAAATATTTCGTAAATCAATCTTTGAAAAAAGTAAAAAAACAGCATCAAAAATCTCATTATTACGATTCCGTTGAAAAGATTTTTAAATATTTTTGTGTAGATTTTTTAAGCCTAATCTGTTTTGTCATCTGAGGGGACTTTTTCCAAAAAGTTCTTTAAGAAACTGTTTTTATTCATAAAAAACTCCATTTTTGGAGGTATTTTCAAATCGGTCCAGCTCGCTTAAATCTTAATATTTTTCCGAAATATTTTGGTGGACGTCTTAAAACATAATAGATTTTGTAATCCCTGCGGAAAATTCGCAACTTTTTTTGGTGATGCAGTCTAATGTACATACATATAGGACTGCGCTACAAAAATTATGATATGTTTTGAAGCAGTTGTCAGATTTTCAGAAACAAAAGCATTTTTTATTTAGAATTAACCACCACTTCACATAAAGTGGTAAAGAAACAAGAGCTATATTTTTTTTTAATAGGGAGTTTTAGTATTTCCGTAACCCCGCCAATTAGCGTTTTTCTTGTAATGTCTAACACCCTCACAGCTGCTAAAGCCCACTTTCCTTTAAAGACTTGAAGGTCTTTGGTCACATATTTCGGGACCTTCAGTCGCTTTCACCGAGAGTCCATTTTCTCTCGTTTGACCTTAGTTTAGAACAGTTTGGTGGATTGACTTTTTTGGGACCAAATTTACATTATTCTTTTAAGCCATACTAAGTCTGATTCGAAGTAATGACATGAAGCGAGGTCAAGCCACAACAAAGTGGATACTTCATGTATAGGAATGGAAGTTATCTCTGCTGCAAGCATTACTTCACATGTAAACCCCTATTGAATGTCCCCGATGTCACAAATGAGCTGCCTTTTTGTCAAAACTGCAGACGGGCTGCCAATCTAGGCTTTCCTTGGAAATGTTGTCACTGTTTTCTCAGGTTTTCAGCAGCGATTCCTAAAGAATCAGCTGTTGTATGAAACCCTTGTCCTGGAAATGAGAAAACCGCTCTTATAAGAGTGTACAAAATGCGAAAATGGTTTAAAGTTTGCCTTAAAATTTATTTACCAATGGCCAAATTTTTGTTACCAGTACAGAATAGACCTTGTAAGTGTATAAACAAGTTCCATATGATCCATTTTTCTTCCAGTGTAACTCAACTATTATATTATTTTATTTTATTTTTAGATATTATATGCTGGGTTATAATAGAGAAGGGTAAAAATTATTTCCTTAACTGTGTTCAAATATTCGCTCTTCTATTCTGTGTTTATTCGCATGTTAAATAACAATGCTGAGATGTTGAGATGTATTAAGTCAGGAAAAACTGCTGCTGGTCATTATGCGAAAGCGCTTAGCGATTAACTTTTGTCATTGATAACATATTTACATTTAAATGGCTTCAACCTGCTTGCATTTACCAAGCGTTCAAGCGTTTTCACAATTTTTTTCTGCGTATTTCTGCCATATAAAGTATGCCCGAATGTTTTTATGGAAGAAAATGCACAACACCGTCAGCAAAAGAAATATATATATATATATAAAGGGGCATTTTAAGCCCTTGCCCTTGGCCTTTATTCTGCGAACATTTTTTGGGCTAAAACACTTCTTACCAAACATTTTTTTTTAAATTCTGATTAAAAAGTTTTAAATTTGGGTGAGACTTTGATGAGCTTTTCCAATTTTTGGGCGAAATTTGAAATTCGGGTGTATATGGCCTTTGTTATAGTTATATAAATTAATGAACATTGAAAGAACTGGTCAAAATGTCGCACTCCTATTTTTTTGTCCATGAGTGTATGTATGTATGTCTGTTAAAATCTTCTACATAAAAATCCCGCGGCGACACAGAAGAACATTAATGAACATTAAACGAACAAAAGATAAATAGACAAAACTGTTCAAAATGTTGAAGTGTTATCGTTTTGTTGCTCGCTGTACATACATACAGTGACTCAGACAAATGACCTTGTGTTGTTGTTGTTGTTGTTGTTGTAGCGGCTACAACAACCCCGCCCAGATCGGTTGGTATCTCAGTCGTTGTCGTCAAGTTCCACTAACGGCAACCCTAGGAAGCGTGCAGCTTCTGCGGGGTTTGCCCATAAGGACAAGGTCGTTAGGGATGTCGGGTTTGCCGGGCATGCGAAGAGATGTTTCGAGTCATGTGGGGTCTCTCCCACACACAAATCACCTGACCCCAGCGAAGCATCAGCATGGTTTCCGTAAAGTGCACAGCACAACAACAGCACTTAACGCCATAAACACTCAGATAACTCGTGGCCTTAACCGTAACCGTCCCTGTGAGAGAACGATTCTAGTAGCGTTGGACTTGTCAAAGGCGTTTGACACCGTCTGCCATTCCACGCTACTAGAAGATATAGAGGCCTCCTCTCTCCCACAGAGGCTCAAACGGTGGTCGGCAAATTATCTAAGTGGTCGACATTCGTCGGTAATGTTCAGAGACAAAACGAGTAAGCAGCGAAAAATAAAACAGGGGGTTCCTCAGGGTGGTGTCCTTTCCCCGCTACTGTTTAACTTTTATATTTCAAAGCTCCCTCAACCACCAGAGGGAGTCTCGATTGTCTCCTATGCCGACGA